CTCAAGAGAAGAGGTTTGATGCTCAATGAAAGTGCCGTGATACTCAACTAACAAATCTGGCAATTTTCATATCAATGCGCATTTGGTAAGTTTAATTTGCTTATTTGATACTTTTGAAATATGCATTAATATGAAATTTTAAAAATGAGCATGTCATCAGTACCAAATGAGCATACATAACTTACAAAGTGCACATTGATATGAAAAGTGTAAGGTTTGTGAAAATCAGTACCAAATGAGCATTGAAACACTTTCGATGAGCATCATGCTTATTTGGTTGAGTATTAGGAACTTAACAATCAAATCTAATGCCATATGCAACTTTTAAAAGTTGCACGAGTATGAGATTTTAAAAATGAGCATAATATGAGTGCAAATTGAACAAATGTAACTTACAAAATGAGTATTGATATGAAAATCATAATTTTTTAAGTTGGACTTCAAGACATTTTTATTGAGCATCAAACCTTCTCTATTGAGTATTGAAAACATGCAATTGAGTATTATGGTCTGTACTCCTATATCTATAACCAGGGGCGGAGCCAGGGGGTCAGGGTGGTCAGCCGACCCCGCTGAAAGTTCAAGAATGTAGAGCTCTGAAATACCTTCGATTTGATATATAATGGGTCCCGTAACTCATTACGAGTATAAAGTTATGACTTTTGAAAAAATCAACATCATCTTAACTTGAAATAAGCAAAATTTGATGTGTGACGTTGATTATTTTATTAAATTTAAAAATAAAACAACTTACTCAGTCATTAGTTGTGTGAACATTATGATACATTACCTATATATCAACATATTAACCGAAAATTCTCATTAAACTACCATTTATCTCAACTACATATGAAACATTTAACTCAAGTATTGTATAATAATTATCCACTATTTTGATATTGTATATAATTAAATTTCGACCCCGTTCACACATTTTTCTAACTCCGCCTCTGTCTATAACTAACTTTTACAAGAATCTAAAAAATAAACTGAATCATTTAATACTCCTTCGTCTCTTATAACTTTGCCAACTTTCCTTTTTTGGTTGTCCCAAAAACTTTGCCACTTTCCCTTTTAGTCAATCAATTTGTGGTTCCTGTTATTTCTCTCTCCTCTGCACAAATCTCAAGCACACAGTTTTTACTTTATTATTCTACGTGCCGGTCAAACTTGGCAATCCTTTTAGGGACGGAGGGAGTACTATTTTATTTTATACATTAATTGAATATAATATTAAAATAGAAGGTTTCTAAAAAAACAAAAAAAGAAAGAAAGGAGAACAAACAAACAACAACAAAAAAACAAAAAACAATAAACAGCTGAAAAGAAAAAGAAAAAGAACGTACGAAGTGAAAAAAAAAGAACATGCGAAGTACGGAACTAAAGATGTCCAGGAGTGGAGTCTTGACCGAAAATTAAAAGGGAGCAGCTCCAACACCTCAGTTTATCAAAAATATCGGGTGTACGTACACCCGGATGTACGATATATGCAGTCATCAATAGTATCAATCACATAACTTTTATGATATTTTTGGAGCATAATGAAATAATTAATAGTACAACATTGGTACATAGTCAAGAAGGATGACAACTTCATATCCGATGAAATCAAAGTATGTACGATTGTGAATAGAAACTACAGGGAAATGGAAATAAGCATTGTAATGGTAGCAAAGCTCTCCAACATCATCAGCCGATAGTTACGTTTCTTCCATGCATCCATTTGGGCCAATATGATAAACACTTGCAACACCTAAATTGGAATGTTGCGTGATAAATAGCCCGTTTTCCGAACTCTGCTTCTTCTTCAACAGACAAATCATACTATTGTGAAAGTGGAAGGGTTTTAATCATACCTAATTACGAATTTATATACGGAGTATTGTTTTTTGGGGGGAGGAACTAATGAGGTCATGTATTGTGAAAGTGGAAGAATTTTAATCATACCTAATTTTAATTTTTGTATTAATAAAATTAATAATAATAATAACAATCACCCTCGTTTTCTTATTTAGTTTTATCCGCTCATATGTATATAATTGACTATTTGATTCTCTCTTGTATACTACGTATTATTTAGGCCGTACATTTTATTTTATATTATTTATTTATAATTTTTATATGTGTATGTGTACATATATGTATATTTTAAAAAAACTAGATTAGCTACTTAAATTTTAAGTGATTGTATTATTCCAAAATGTTTAAAATTATGAGATGTTAATAAATTAATTAGCTTCCGTCAAAGTTAATGGCAAATCTAACGGAAGGACTCAATTAATATAGATTAAATAGATTAAGGACTAAAATGATAGATTTAATAGTTCGAGGACCAAAACGATACGGCGATGATAATTCAAGGACCATTTATGCATTTCACTCTTAACTTTTTTACCACTTCTAACATTCCTGATTTTGCTATAGAAGTGAGGGGGAACCCTTCCTATGTTGTGCAATGTGTTCTCATCAATGAGATTGAATAGGACTCATCAACTCCGACGATGTGGGATCGCCAAGATGGTAGATGAACCTGGACTTGCTCTTTTTCTTGATGATTTTGTACCATTAAACTGATTCTTGATGAAATTTGATACTCTTTAATTTACTTCTTTACTCTTTAGGCACGTACAATGGCCTTGTTTGGTAAAAAGCTGTTAGCGCGATTAGCAGTTAGCGGGTTGTGTTAGGCTGTTAGCGATTTATGATACTCAGAATCAAAAGATCATTCATTAATGGTTAGTTTGGAATTATGAAAATTGCCAAGGAAAGAAATAAAGTAAGAAATATATTATAAATCTGCCAAAAGTCATTGAACGTCTCAAACTTAATTAACCAGTTTTAGATTTTTGTTCAACCTTATTTTTTAAAGTATTATCTAATTGTGTTACACAAAGACTGAAAAATCTAAATATATGTGCAACTCTAATCATGTTCTATTTTAATTTCCTTCAGATTTTCCAAGGTAAAACCAAATGTAAGGAAACACTACTTAACTTGGCATTTCTTCCTTTCAAGTATCACTAGTAGCTTCTGCCTTCCAAATAGAGAGAAACATGTTGTAAAAAGAAAAAAGCACTCAAAATCAAAAGCATACTCTTACAATCCTCTTGGAGAACTGTGGATGCATACACTAATATTTCCATGTCCGTGAGAGTTGTTTGTCTTAGTGTACACCTTTTTATACACATCAGTACACTCCCGTGTCTGTGATAGTTTTTTGTCTGTGAATCCCAGTCCACAGACAAAAACTGATTTGTTTTGTCTTTTAAAAATTCTACAGACAAAACAAACCAGTTTTTGTCTGTGTGCTGGGATTCACAGACAAACAACTCTCACAGATACAAGGGTGTACTGATGTGTATAAGAAGGTGTACAAAAGGAATTTTTGTTTCAATTTGCTATTTCATCACCAATTTTTGCTCTCCGATCAACTCCAGAAGAATGATATACTACTTGAACCTAGACATGGACTCGGGCCGGGCCTAGGACCGGCCGGGCTGCTGGTTTGTAACTTATGGACCCAGGACCGGCCCGAGGTCTGGACGGGACCGGTTTGGGCCGGGCCACCCACCCGGGTCACGGGTCGGGCCAACCGCCGTGCCGGGCCGAGCCGGTTAAATCCATTTTTTTAATTTATACTTTATAGTTTTATACAAGAATTAAAAACAAACTTCAAGTGCATTTATTTGAAATGAAATAGGAACTACATTTGACAATTAAGAGAAACATACAATATGAAATACATTTTGTAAAATTGAGAATTGAAGGTAAAATTAATCAATCGGAATCTCCGACATAGGTAGAGCCACCCTCGGTTGTAGATTCATCCATAAAGTGTTGGGATGGGGTGTTGTCAATTTCTTGAGCTCTACGGGACACCTTCAACCAATCGTGGCAGCATATAATCATATCAAGAGATTCTGCGCTCAACCTCGTTCTACATTGCATTATGACATTGCCGACCGAACTAAATTCTTGTTCCACGGCAACTGTTGAAACCGGCATTGATAGCACTTGCTTAGCCATCTTTGCTAAAACCGGGAACATTCTTTCTTTTCCCATCCACCAGTTTAGTACGTTAAAATCATCATCTTCTTCAAAATCAACATCATATCTTAAATACAAAGAAATCTCATTAATAGTGCTTTGTTGCGTAGCGGGAGTTGATTTCGTTTTTTAATAAGATTGGCAAATGTAGATTTGAAAATCATCATCTTCTTCAAAATCAACATCATATGTTAAATTGAAGTAATGTTAATACAAAATTAAACAAGTGTAAATAATAGAATGATTTCGTACCTCTTTCGGACTTTCGGTCTTTCGGATGGGAGTAATAGAATGACTTCAAATTAATTAGATATAATTCCAACTATATTAATAGATATAATAAATGTATAAGTAATATATAATTAGATAAGAAATATAAGTAATATAATGTATGTATTTATAAATTATAAGTAGATAATTAATATAAAGTAGATATATAAATATAATATATTGGAGAATAAGAGAATTTGAGAAGATGAAGATAATTAGAGAGTAGAGTGTTAAGAGTAGGATTTAGAAAGAGTTGGAGAAGAGATATGGAAAAATGTTTAAGATTAGAAGTATTTATAGGTTTTTTTACCCCCCCCCCCCCCCACCCCCCAAACCGCCCGGACCCCCCCTGCAGCCCACCCAACGGCTATATAGCCGTTTGGGTTGTTCCCAGCCCACCCCAACGGTCATTTTGGCCCAAATATATTTTTTTAAAAGTAGCCGTTGTGACCCGGACCCGGGCCCAACCCGGCCGGACCGGGTCACCTTTTGCAGGAACCGAGCCCGCCCCAGCTTCCCCCACCGGTTCGGGTCCACACCCGGTCCCGGACCGCCAGACCGGGCTGGTCCCGGGCCCGCACAGTATCGGGCCGGGCCGGGTCACAGGCCGGGTGGCCCGAACCGAATCCATCCCTACTTGAACCTATATACCAAAAAACCTAAATGGATTTAATTTTTTTTTGGGAAAATGTAAATATATAGATAGTAACGAGAGTTATGTACATCGTATGAGCAAAATTGGAGGCATATCCAAGTATGGATACCCTATACATCCAAAGATTCCAAAGCTTAATATCTAAAGTCCATCATCTAGCAAAAACAGCCATCAACTCATGACAAAAAAGAGGCAAAAAACGAGGCTAGTTTATGATTCAAAAAGGGATCATATGGTACGGGTATAGTGAGTATAGCACTTTGTACACCATATATTTGATTTGTGCGACCATCTCATCCATCTTTAGAGTGGCTCCATCAAAACGGATTGCATTACGAATTCTCCATATCCAGTAGATTGTGTAGCTAAACGCTATCCTCGTAGCTTTTGCTCTAATATGTGCTCCTTTGCAATCTCTTTGGATCCATTTCACCGCGCTCCTCAAAGATGACATTTGCCTTGAAATCCCCACCCATGCTTTAATATCCTTCCAAACCTGCCCTGTACAAGAGCATTCAAAAAATAGGTGTGGTACCGTCTCCGGACCACCCTTACAAAACGGACAAATATTAACAATATCCAGATAAACCATGTTGTCATATGTAGGTAGTCTATTACGGTAGGCTAGCCACATTATGAACGAAAATTTAGGAGGGATATAAGTCTTCCATATAAAAGACATCCATGTTTGAGCAGTCCCTTTCATTCTAAGAAGGTCATATACCTTGGAAGAGGAGAGCTTACCATTGTGAACCATCTTTCCAAGGTTTGTGATAGTCTCGGTTATAGACAGATATTTGGAGACAATGGAGTCTCGGATCAGTGCAATTCTTTTCATCAATTCTGAGTCCCTATTGTGTGGAACAAAGGTCCACACATCCCTCCCATGGAGGTTGACCCCATTTACCCATCTTACCCAAAGGGTATCTTGTTTAGCATGAATATTCCAAAGTGTACGAGATAATAATGCATTATTCCAAACCTTAGTATCTTTAATCCCTAACCCCCTTCCTCTTTAGGTAGGCACACATCTTCCCAAGCCACCTTAGCATGTTTTCCCCCCCATAGAAAGATTCTACAAAGACTAACAATTCTATCCAAAATTGTTTTAGGGACTGGAAAAATGCCCAGCCAAAAGGATTGCACCCCTTGGATAACTGACTTAATCAACTCAACTTTCCCCGCATATGATAAGGATTTGGTATTCCATGCATTGAAATAATCTGTAACCGTATCTATCAAAGGAGAGAATTGGGCCACAGAAATCTTTAAAGGGGCCAATGGAATGCCAAGATACCTTACCGGAAAAGATCCTTGTTGGAAGTCAACCATTTGTAATATGAATGGCAGTTTGTGCTCAATATTTCCCCCCACAAAGATATTTGATTTGTCTTGATTGACCAATAAACCCGAGACCCTCCCAAAATCATTTAAAGCATCAACTAGAATCTTAATAGACTTGGGTTCCCCTTTGAAAAAAAGCATTAAATCATCGGCATAAGCCAAATGTGAGATTTTTAGTTTGGAACATAAAGGATGATAGTTAAAGCTAGGATTTGAGGTCCTAATAGCTAACATCCGGGAGAAATATTCCAAACATAGAACAAACAACATAGGGGACATGAGGTCACCTTGTCTCAAGCCTCTCTTTCCTTCAAACCAACCATGTAAGATGCCATTTATAGATATTGAGAAGGAAGAGGTAGAGACACACTCCATTATCCAATTGACAAAAACGTTAGGCAACCCTATGCCCCTTAAGACCTTTTCAAGGAAAGCCCAAGAAATAGTATCATATGCTTTCCTAATATCCACCTTAATCATGCACCTAGGAGAAACCCTCTTTCTAGCGTATCCCCTCACCAATTCTTGTGCAAGGAAGATGTTATCAGTCATTAGTCTTCCATCAACGAAAGCCCCCTGTGATGGATGAACTACACTAGAAAGACATGGTCCCAATCTAGATGCTAAAATCTTGGTAATGATCTTATAAGTCACATTGGTACAAGAAATGGGTCTAAAGTCAGAAACAGATGGAGAATGAGTAGTCTTAGGAATAAGAGCTACGATTGTGTGGTTAACCTGTTTAAGCATATTATCAGAGTCAAAGAACTCCTTGACAGCAGCACACACATCCTCACCCACTTTCCCCCAATTTGATTTGAAGAAAGCTAATGAATATCCATCCGGTCCAGGGGCTTTGTCATTCCCAATATCAAAAAGTGCTTCTTTGATTTCTAAATCAGTCACAGGACTAATCAAGCTATCAAAGAGAGATTGGTCTATGGTGTTACCCGAAGCCAAGATATTAGGATCAAAATCAAGAGAAGGTACGACAGTACCAAAAAGACCTTTGAAAAAACTAATAAACTCCTTTGCTACTTGGTCCATAGATTGGGTAAGAGTCCCATCTTGAAGTCGAATGGAAGCAATTGAGTTTTTGGCTTGCCTCTTTTTAACAATTGAGTGAAAATACTTAGTACATCTATCCGATTGCATAAGATGAATAGCAATTTCTTGGTATTGCTATTGTTTGAGATAGGCTTCCTCGGCCTCCTTAAGAAATAAGGCTCTTTTCTTAGCAACCTCCATCTCCTCTTTAAGAGCATCATCATGGGGGTCCAAAAGAGCTAATTGATAAACTCTTTGATACTCCTTCTTAGATTCCTTTGCTCTTACCGAGATATGGCTAAATTCATTGACATTTATTTGTTTTAGGGGCTGTTTTAGGAGCTTGAGTTTACGGGACAAACGAAATTGAGCCTTCCCCCCAACATTCCTATTCCAAACATCCTCTAAAATACCAAGAAATTGGTCATGTTTCATCCACATGTTAAAAAACTTAAAAGGTTTAGATCCATTTTTGATAGTAGTGCCAATACTTAGTAGAGCAGCCACATGGTCAAAATCACATTCCATTTCAAAAAAATGAGCCCTACAATTTATCCCATTAGCACTCCAAGAAGGGTTAACAAGAATCCTATCTAACTTTGCCCAAATGGCACCTCTATTCCAAGTGAAAAATTCACCCGTAGAAGGGGCATCATCTAGATAAGTTTGGATTTTCATCTCATTAAGGTCCTTCATTAAGTAGCCCGTGGGGGGGGGGGGGGGGGGGGGACCTTTTCTTTCATGAGGGGCCCCAACACAATTAAAATCCCCCAAAACAGCCCAAGGTCCAAGAATATTTGAACTAAGTCTATTCAAATGATCCCAAAGAACTCTTCTTTCCATAACCGTATACAAAACATACACAAAAGAGGCATAAAAACAAACTTGCGTAATTTTACACCTAAATCTAGCATGCACATGTTGGGTATCAACTTCCAAAATATCATCATCCACATAGCAAGGATCCCACAAAATAGCAATTCGGCCACCACTTATTTTATCAAAGTTGGTAACATACATCCAATTTGGCAATTTAAATTTCATAAACTTAGAAAAACTAGTTAATGACATTTTGGTCTCAAGAAGGCAAAGTATGCGTACCTTATTAATCCTTATGAAGTTAAGTATATTATTTTGTTTTGAGGCTTGATTCAGCCCCCTTACATTCCATGATGTAACTATCATAAAAAAACATGCTAGTTTTTCCTCCCCTTCCTCTTGTTCGGCCTAGCCACTTCCCATTGTATTCTCTTCCATTCACGGTACTCCTCACAGCCCCTATACCTAGCAAAGAAAAGATCATAAACATTTATTATAAAGGTAGAGGAGAATTCATACCCTTGCTCCGTTAGAGTTGCCCCGGGAAGAGATTTTAGACATTCGGTGGTGAAGGTTATCCCTTTGCGTGCCAAACTTTCCTCCTCATCCAAGTAGTTGTCTAATCTAGTCATCATCACTTTCACATCATCACAATGCGTCAAGTGTATCTTCGGCCTTTCCCCCTCTTTGAACTCTATCTTTGTAATTACATCATCCAAATATGCCTCCTTTATGTCTCTTACAACCCGGACTGATTTGCCTTTGAACTTTCTCATATCTTTCACTTTACTTCCATTGCCCATAATGTGACCATCCTCGAAGTACCTATAAAGGTAATGCCTAAACACACTTCTCATGAAAAGTGATGAAAAGACATATTCCTTCTTCTTTCTTCTCACCCCCGGGAGCTTCTCCAAACAAGTTTTGGTGAAGTAAACCCCTGGTTTGGTTCCATCTACTTCTTGTAGGAGGTGGTTTAATCTAATAGTGGGCTCGATTACCTCATCTACATCTACCACTTTGATGGTAGGCTCCCCAAATTCTTCCGCTTCCATCTCCACTATGACTTCATCATCAAAAAATTCCTTGAAGCTAGAAATCCTTCTCGGTTGATCATCCTCTTCATCATGCTCTTGTAATGTTTCATACCTCGAAGATACTTCTCCATCCTCTCTTGGTTGTTGTTTCTTCTTTGGCTTCCTCTTCTTTTTCTTTAGGCGAGCTGCCTTAAGAAAAGGGTGTTCTTCCTTTGGGATATAAGTAGTGTCTAAGGACGCGGCATTAGGCTTGGTAGCCGCGGCATTAGGCTTGTTAGCCCCGGTGTTGGATGTCTCTCCATGTAATGCCGCGGCATTAGTCTCCGGTGTTATGCCTTTGCCTTTATCTTCTTTGCTTTGATCCTCGTTGCCTTGCTCTTGTCTCTTCTTCTCTTCCCTTTCTTTTTTTTCCATCTCGGCTATGGCTTTGCAAGTGAATGCATGGTGCCCATAAGCCTTACAATGGAAACAATAGTTCGGGAATGTTTCATAGATTAGCTTTTGGAAATGAAATCTACCATTGGGCAGCCGCACCTTTAGTGTAAGGGGAGGGGGTTTTGAGCCATCCACCTCAATCAAAACCCTTGCATACCGAGATATAGCCCTCTCTTGTGTCACTCTATCCGTTGTAAGAGGCATTCCCACCCTTGATGCTATCTCACTAATGATATCTTCATTCCAAATTTGCATAGGTAGGTTAGGAAATTTCACCCAAATTGGCACTTTGAGGAATTCCTCACTTTCAAAGGAAAAGTCCTCCGAAAGAGTTTTGAGGTATAGCGACTTGCCGAATAAGGAGTACGGCCCTTCCATTAGGACCTTGGATCTGTCTTCTTCCCCTTGAAACTTGAAAATCACCCACCCTCTATCATGGGTCCTCACTTTGCATGGCACACCCCATTTGGAGACTAATTCTTGAATTGGTTTGAAACCGGGGTATCTCCCCGCAAAGTACCCCACTAGACAATGTCCCCAAATCTCCTCTATTGATGGCATGATCCTTTGATGTAAGTCCACGTATTCCCCAACTGGTTCAATGAACCTTAATTTCATTCCTTTTGAAGGTTCCCTATTATCCTTGAAAAGAGATGCAAATGGTTTGACAATAGGGGGTTCTGTTTGCTTCCATGGTAAAGGTCTGCCCAATGCAGCAACATAGGAGTCATTAACATTACCCCCCACCTGAGTTTGTGGTTCAGTTATTGCCAAAACATCATTCGAAGAAGCATCATTAATTCCCCCATCCGAACCTTTTTTCAACTAGACCAATGTCATTGTCATTTTGCTCCATGATTTTTTCCACATTTGTAACCTCTTTTAGAGGGGGTAAGAAAGTTACCTCAGGTTCCGATTCAGTAGGTTGTGGTGCAAATTCGGGTTGAGGTCTAGAAGAGCCTTCGGAATCACTAGCATAAGAGTGCACATCCAAGTCGGAGTCACTCAATTGGTTCATTGTCGAGATAGCATCCTCCAAATCCTTTGTTTTTGCCTTGGCTTTTAACCTTGAAGAGAACTTCGTGGGAGGCTGGACCTCCTTCTTTTTAGCCGTAGACTTTGGCATTTTGATAGAAGAAACTTCAAATCATGGAAAGGGTAGCTAAAAATAGCAACCCCTTCTAAAACGGGAACCTTTGTACCTCTTTTGAGTTTTTGAGCTAAGAAACCGTATCAATGGAGGCGGAGGTGAACAGTATGGTGTTGTACGGCCTTGGATGATGATGAAACAAACTGGATATGCTTGATCCTCACACCAAGGCGAACCTCAATCTATGTTCAAAACAAAAATCGGCCGAGTAGATGTGGAGTTACGTGCGTTGACATTCTTGAGTGAATAGTGTTTGTGCGCAGCTTTTGTGGTGTTTTTTGCGGAGAGGAAGCAGGGATATCCCAAATATTACTCGACCAAGAGATGGAAGAAGTAATATGGAGGATATTCTAGCTCCGGAGAGGAAGTTTGCGGTGGTTTGCGGTGGTGGAGAGGTGGTTTCCGGCGTGAAGGAGCCAAATATGACCGTTGCGGTATATTTGGGAGAGAGGAGCTCTCAACCCTCACTAAAACCGAATTATGGATTTAATTATTAAATCTCATATATGATGGACAAAAGTATTACATGACTGCACAAAAGGGACTGAAGCTGACCTTTTCATGTTACCGAGCAAGCAAAAAGAGACCTATGTCTTCTCTTGGAGGGCAATAGTCACTAAATAGTGTGAGGCACACATCCCCTTTTGTGGAATGATGAGCTTGTAACACATGAAATTTTAGTGTCACAGACTATGAGGAAGCCCTAGAAATTGAATATTGATGTGAATTTTCTCGCACTTAAAAAGATTGTAGAATAGCGGTGAAAGTACGAGTATCGTCTTCAAAGGGACGGTAAAAGGGAATTAAGAATTAACTAAAATCAGCGATAAAAATAAATAAAACAAATGCGGTCGTGCGAGATTTGGTTGCTTGAGAAAACTAAAATTGCAAATAAACGTCTAAAAGTAAATATTTGGGTTCTTCTTAATTAATGACGAAGGGAACAGGGATAGATTCCGGGGTAATCAGATTTATGGCAGATCAGGCTTAATTACATGAATTTAATTTAATTGAGCCTAGCTAATCAATACTAAGTTCTTACCGCTCTCGCGGCATAGAGTACAATAATTTAGGTGACCAAGTTGATCTCTCATGCGACAGGATCCTAAATTGTTGCCAAGACGAACGAGCTTACGACCCCTTAATGGCTACTAATCTCTTAGCAAACGATTAAGTGTGTTGAAGGTGTCCTAGAAAAAATTAGATCTCTCTTAATTCATTCTATATGCAATTGTAATTCTAGTGGCCATTCTAGGTTACAAAAGATATCAATTAAATTATTCAAACATAAATTAAACGACATTCATGCAATTTACACCATCAAGAACCTAACCATACATCATGATTAACCCCTTCATCAACCCCAAATCCCTAATTAAAACTACTCCCTATTCATAATTGAAGAATCAATAGAATTGGGATAAATAGAATTAATTGTCATTAATCAAAAAGTAGGAATTTACAAAGAATGTTAAGGAATTGAAAAACCTGGCTGAAAAAGCTCTCTAATCTCGTCCTTAATCTCTCTCTAAAGTTCCATCCCCTTCATTAGGGTTAAGGGGGTGATATTTAGAGGAAACATAGTGATTTGGGCTAAATTAGGAAACAAATTAGGTACACACGGCACCTACGCACGCGTGTGTTGCGTCCGTGCGGCCGACAGAGAAAGGCGTAAAATCGTTGGACGCACACATGCGTCCCTTGCCACGCACGGGTGCGTGTCTACCAGTGCGTTTTCAGGCTTATCTAGTTCGAATTTGACAAAACTTTCTTCATAAAAGTTGTATTTAATGAAGTCCTCTATCCACCCTAATTTTCCGAATTGGATTTGAATCATCCAATCAAGAGATATGAATAAAATGGTGGAATGTCTCATTCTGAAATCGCAATAGGGAGCATCTGACTTCATCGTCTGTTTTCACCATCTTCCTTTCAGATTCTCGGAATGATGTCTTCATATGATTTGTAGCCCTTGAAGTTGGATTTCATATTCAACTTGAATCGTGTCCTTTGACCGCTTCTACAAAGATATATGCTTGAACGATTGACAGAAGGTCATCCTGAACACCATTTTCAAGCTCTCTTTGTCTTCTTTTGATCCCGTAGCCAATC